TTGGGGTGGTTTCCTAGATCTCACTGGTTACCCAGCCCAGTCAAATAGATAGAGCCTGGGTTCAGTGTCTCAAAAACAAGGTTAAAACCCTAATCCGTGTGTGTGTGTGTGTGTGTGTGTGTGTGTGAACCACATTTGTGCAGGTGCCCAAGGAAGCCATAAATAAGGAAAATTAATAAGACACTGATATCAGAGCCAGGCAGATCTCTGTGAGTTCGAGGCCAGCCTGGTCTACAGAGTGAAATCCAGGACAGGCACAAAAACTACACAGAGAAACCCTGTCTCAAAAAAACAAAAAACAAAACAAAACAAACAAAGACACTGATATCGACCTCTGCCCACCCATCAAGTGTATACACACATGCATGCACACACAAGAGAGAGAGAGAGAGAGAGAGAGAGAGAGAGAGAGAGAGAGAGAGAGAGAGAGAGAGAAGAGGTGGGGGAGGAAGGGAAAGTGGAGTGGAAAAAGTGGCCAAGCCTGGCTGGGATCAGACCCAAGGGAGAGGATTCAGGTTTTGACACTAGACTTGGGTGATCATCAAAAGGCTTGGCTGAATAGAACGGAAGAATGAGAGAGTCATTTCCTCTTAGATTTGGTCTCCACAGAAAGAAGAAATAGCTGTCTGTCCTTGGAAGAACTCAGCCTCACCCAAACTTCAGTTCCAAGTACACTCTGAGCAGTCCTTGCAACTCTCAAGTTCAAAGTGAGCTCACCTCATCCAAAACACCGGGGAAACGTCATGCTCATTCTGTCCCTAGGACAATTCATCACACTACCCTGTGGGATCCTTCACAGCACTTAGCACAGCACTGTTCCCAAGCACGCATCATAACAGAATAGAGTATGCCTAACATTCGTGAAACATTCTTCTGTACCAGACTCTGTACTAAGGCCACTTCAGCCAGGTCACAATCCCCACAACTGCCATGAGGTTGGTGCTACTATCACCCACATTTTATGAAACAAAAAACAGACAGAGAAAACTTAAGCAACTTCCCCAAGCTCATGGGGCTTAACTCATCTTGATCTGCAGGGCTCTGAAGTCAGCGGTGCTGGCTTTCTTACATTAAAGCATTCTATTGAGCCTAGAACAGATAATGCCACATAGTAGGACTGTCAAGATTAACTGAAGAATGAGGCTGGGGACAACTCAGCCTTCCCTCCTACCACATCCTCTTTCCAACATTCCTACTGTCCTATGTTGTCACCTTTATGCCCTCCACTCTGTTAAAGCATAGATCTGTCCTGCTAACAGGGCTTAGGAGAAGAAAAAGGAAATTCAAAGCCCTGTGTCTGTGAGATTGTGGAGAGAGAGACACATCCACTTCAGTGCTGAGATCCATGGAGTGGCTGTGTCTACAGATATTTGCCGATATGGGAACATATTGGGTGGCTTGCGTTACGCAGTTTCAGATGTCCAGGTATGGCGGTTTGAATGGGAATGACCCCAGAGGCTCATATGTTTACATGTTTGGTCCCCAGTTAGTGGAACTGTTTAGAAAGATTAGGAGGTGTGGCCTTGTTGGAGGTGTGCAACTGGGGTTGGGCTTTGAGATTTCAAAAGCCCATGCCAGGCCCACCATCTCTCTGCCTGCTGCTTGTAGATCAGAATGTAAAGCACTCAGCTACTCCTCCAGCACCATGCTTGTCTGCTTCCTGTCATGACATCAGGGACTAACCCTCTGAAACTGTAAGCAAGGCCCCAGTTAGATGTTTTCCTTTAAAAAGGTTGCCTTGGTCATGTCTGTTCACAGCAATAGAACAATAACTAAGACACCGGGTCACATATATGCCTGGGAGATGCTTCATATTCCCAGGTCTACTCTGTGTCTCTGTGTTAGGGAGGCCTGCCTCCACTCCAGCCACTAGGGTGGAGAGGCCAAAGAGTAGACCTCCCAGAGGCAAACAGAGGCCAAGCTCTGCATTCTAAAAGCTACAGCTTATTCTAGGCTGAACTCACACCCGGGCTGTTGTTCCAAACACCAACCCCTGTAGTTCCCACCAGACTGAAGGCAGAGAACCTTTGGTGGCACCCCTAAACTGTAAGGAGGGTCACAGTTTCTCGGGAGGCAGGGAGCAGAGTCATCACACAGTAAGTGATGTGCTCATCAAGGCCCTGTAAAAGAAACTAAAGCAGAAAAAAAAAAGCCATGGACATCAGTTCAACCATCTCCCCAGAAAGAGACTGCTCCCAGATACCACCATGTGGTGCAGAGTGAGGTTTCCCTGTGTGCTGAACTGTGCACACCGCCCCCCAGTTCCTGCGTCTAAGCTCTGACCCTCCCCAAATGATAGTACGGTGGGTCCTTTGGGAGGTGCTCAGCTACAATCCTCAAGGCAGACCCATGTCCTTCTCAGGGACTTGCTGGCTGTCCACCTTTGAACGTACAAAGAAGAGGTCATGTGAGCTTATAGTGAGGTGGTGATCACGAGCTAGTTATCACCAGAAACTGAGCTGGTCAGCACCTTGACTTTGGGCCTCTGGGCTCCAGAACATAAAGAAATAAATTTCTGTTGTTTAAGCCCCTCTGCCTGTGGTACTTGTCACAGTAACCCAAGGAGACTAGTGTGCATTCCAGAGGCAGGTGCTCAGGCAGGAGTTCAAATCTGGACCCATTTTAGAGTTGTGCAACCATGGGCAGGCAGGTCACGTGGTTTCTCTCATGATTCTCTCATCTATAAATTACATAATGAAAAGCTAGCTGTGTGGGTACATAGGAGGTTCCTCAAGTTGTCTAGGACACAACACATTTCGGCAACAGAAATGTCATTCCATACACACTATGGCCCTTCTTAGTGACAGGTAGTTTATTAGCCACACTCAGACCACAGCGGTGTTTTGTTATGTCTGCACCAAAACTTAGAGAAATTTACTTTTTAAAAAAAAAACAACTTTTGAAAGTCAGATACACCAATTAAAAAAAAAAGATAAAGCTTAAAACTGTAAAACAGACGGGCGGTGGTGGCGCATGCCTTTAATCCCAGCACTCGGGAGGCAGAGGCAGGTGGATTTCTGTGAGTTCGAGGCCAGCCTGGTCTTCCAAAGCGAGATCCAGGAAAGGCACAAAGCTACACAGAGAAACCCTGTCTCGAAAAAACAAAACAACAAAACAAAAAAAACAGCTGTAAAACAGCTGGGCATGATGGCATATGCCTTTAATTCCAGTACTCAGGAGGCAGAGGCAGGCAGATCTCTGTGGGTTTGAAGCCAGCTTGGTCTACATAGTGGGTTCCAGGACAGCCAGGCCTACACACAGTGAGGCCCTGAAATAAGTTTTAAAATAAACAAAAATGAGAGGAAATTTTTCATTAAAAAAATCTTAATTTCAGGTCTTTTGGGAGCATCTCTGCATGCTCCCCGGCCGGCCTCCCCATTCAGAAGGCCCCTTGGCACCTGGGGGCTGCTTGCTTCCCTGAGCTATGGGGGCAGGTGACATCAGAGTTGGCTCCCACCTTCCTAGCTACCCACAAAGATCTTTGAAGTACAATGTCAGGATCTGTGTCCTGAAGTGAGAAACAATTAGCACATTCCTGAACCGTTGGATTATTTATTTATATTTCCACTGGGGCCTGAGGAACTCAGTGCTTGGAGTAAGCTGGGCTCTTTCTTGCAAGGCTGAGACTGGTGACCCAGCTTTGCCCCTGACACCATACCTCCTTGGGACCTCACTCTCCTTCCCTGTAAAATGAGGCCTTGGGCTAGATGGTCTCTTTTTTCTCTTTTCACATTTATGTAATTGTGACATGAAATTCAAGTCCATAGGTAGAAATGTAACACAACCGTTGGCGTATGTGCTGAACAGGAGGTAGAAATGTAACATAACCGTTTGCTTATGTGCTGTACAGGCTTGAATGAAAACAGAGCTCTTAAACACCCAGCTGACCTCACCACAGACCTGATTCAACGTAAACAAGGCTTGAACAATAGCCTTGTTTGTTGTTAACCCACTGCAGGGCTGGGTCTTGAGCCTAGATGTTCTGCATTTAACATACCCAGAGAGGAATTAAAAGACTGGCTAATTCAACTTCTTAGTCCTAGATGAGCCAGGGGCTCTGAGCTCTGTTTCCTCTCTCCTTTCACCAAGACACAACCCGACTGTACCACCACCCCACCTCCAGCACCCTATGTACTTAGGCTCTCTTTCACTGAAAGCACAGGGCCCCATGCACCTGCTGATTCTCCCCGCTGGAGCTCTCTTCCCTAATGAATCCCTGCTGACCTTCAGATCACAGCAGAAGCATCACCTCCACTGTCCCTGGACTCTTGGCAAGACCAAGTCATATTAACAAGCTTTCATCATATCAGCCAAGTCATCACACAGCCCGTGATTGGTTGACTGATGATCATCTTCCCATCAGACTGTACATGCCAAGAAGGTGAGGTGGGGATGTGGCTCAGTGGACAGAATGCTCACCCACTGTACAAGAGGCCCTGGGCATTTTATAAGCCAGGGATAGTAGCACATACTTGTAATCCCAGAACTCCAGGAGGTGGACACAGAAGGATCAGGAGTTCAAGGCCAATCTCAGTTATATAGTTAGTTCAAGGTCAGTGTAGGCTACCTGAAACTGTCTCAGAACAAAACAATAACAAAAACAAAACCCAGGAAAGCAGGGTCCACATATGTCTGCTCCAGCACCTAGCCAAAGATATACTCTAATATTTGTTACTAAATCTTTTATTAACAGGTATAAATCTCAAGTAATCTGGCTCCAAACACTAAGCCATATTGCCTAATACAGTGCTCAATAAACGTTTACAGAATTAGTGCCAGCTACCCTCTATCCACCTGCACCCCCAGCATGAAGTGCATAACATACACGAGCATAGGCATCCTATCAGAATGAGAAGTCTGGAAGGTAAAGGTCTCAACACAACAGCCACAAGAACAATTTAACAGCAAGCAGAGGAGCAGCAAGGACTAAGCAAGATGGTGGGTGGGGAGGACACTAAGCCTCCTAATGGAAACAGCACTGGTTTTGGCCAGCCAGGTACCTGATGTTCTCGTTCAGTGCATACAGCTCATTGCTCTGCAAGCCGCCCCCTTTGAAAACGTTGATCACAGCTGTCTGCACACTGCAAAGAGACAGAAACACATCCCAGTTAGGTGATCTGCCTCCAGGGGCCATTTTTTCAAACAGCTCACAGGAGAGGTCATGGAAGAGCTGGGAAGCCCTAGGGGATACTTGCAGCCATATCCTCTGCCCCTCTCCTTAATGCCCCAGAAGTACTAAGGAGACGTAGGCAAAAGAATCCAAAGGCAGTGTCGGGCCCCTTGTAAGTCCCAGAGGGCTTCTTTCCCTTGCTCACATGGAGACAGGCAATGGATTGGCTCTCTGAGAACTGCCATCACTGGGACCGGCAAGCATCCAGAAAGCATCCATTGCCAGCAGGAGCTGACCCTGTCTGGTCTCACAACCGGGAAGTCACCATCTTCTCACGTAGAAACTGCAACTGTTTGCCTTGTTAGAGCAGAATTTTCCATGGGCCTTCACTACCCTTTTATTTCACCCCAGGGAGGGAAGTATACCAGCAGAGAGTTAGGCTCTTAAAGGGCCACAGTCGGGGCTCAACTCCACTCAACTCCAGGGACCTCCACCCACATCATCAGCCGAAGAACTCATTATAATCTTGTCTGTGCTGAGGAATTTTACAAAGGACAATGATTCTCAGAATGCCAGAACATTCCAGGCAGGCCTGCTGAGCTGCATCAGCTGAGTGTGCCTGATGGCCAGTCACTGAAAAAGCACACAGAGAATTCAGTAATGCTTTCATTTATCCAGAGGCCAGCACAGATTTGGAAACCAGCAGCCCACAGACTTACAGGGCAGTGCTGATTGGCTGATCTGCTCAGGGCTTGGTTCATAAGCTCCGCTGGACACCTTGCAAAGCTGCATCTCCTCTCCCAAGCACCAGTGGATCAGGTGGAAGAGACTGTGGCACACCCCCCTCAATGAGCTTGGCACAGAAATGCACCGAAACTTCCTAAAGAGGAAATGGGTGACATGAGGTCACTTGAAAGACCCCACCCTTAGATACTCACCCAGTATAGGATGTTAAGGGGCATGAACAGTAACTGTAAATTCTAACTCAATGGTCCCAGCCTGGCAAAACTGACCCTGAGAGGCTAGAACTCACAGTGAGCTCCATCCTCTATGAAAACAGGGGCGCTTGCCCCATTCACCACCTGCACCATGATCAGACTTCATGAGCAAAGCTCTCCGAGCGGCAGATGTTCAGCCCACCCCCAGATCATCCCAGACACCTCCCTGGTGGTGCTGGACCCACAGGCCCTTACCTGTTCCAGGCAGAGTTGGAACTCAGCTGCAGAGCCTGCCGGGCGGCCTGGAAGCGGGGCAGCTCGCTGAGTACGGGGGAGCTCATGAATCGTGGTCTGGGACGGCGGAAGGAGCCCATCTTGTGGAACTCAATGGGCAGGAGGGGAGCAAGGCCTCGGGTCATAAGTCCAGGTGAGGATTGCGCTGTGTCTTCAGGACCAGACGTTTCTGGCCACCCACAGAAAAGGCTTCTCCCAACGCTGCTTCTGGGCTTTCTTTAAAACCCCACTCTGAGCCAACACCTGAAATGAGAGGCAGCCTCTACTGAGAACCTGGCTGAAAACATATAACTAAAGGATGTTGGCTAGACTCTCTAGCTAAATGATCCTAAAATCAATGGAGAGAGAGAGACACAGCAAGAGCCTCTACTGCCACTGAGGCTCCTGTCCCCCCCCTCTCTCTCTCCCTCCCCCCCCTGTGTGTATGTGGGGGTGTGTGTGTGTGTGAATGGGTGTGTCTCTGTGTGTGTGTGCTAGGCATGGACCCACGGGCTTAGAGCATGGGCCAGCACTCTATGACTGAGATACACACAAGCCCTAACAGAAAGATAGCCTTTGTGAATGCCTCAAGAAAAAGGAAACGCTCCTTTTCCTTGACAATAAAGGCCTTCTGCCCCATCAGCCACTACGTGCTATTCAATATGTCTCAGGTCATGAGTTTCTTCTCTCAGACACATCTTGCCATCCTTTTCCTACCTGCCATGTGTTTATTCAGTCCATCAGGACATGTTTACTGTTCGATGCGTAACAATCATTGTAACATATCAAGCACTCAAAATCTCTAAGGCCCAGGTCCTGCCCTTCAGGAGACTCACACTCTCTGGTAAATGACTATTCTTGTACCTGTTCATTCAATAAATACTTATTGAGCCTATAAGCTCCAGGCACTGCGGTACTGGGATGATAAAATGATGGTCATGGAACTGTCCCCGGGGTCCCATGTAATTGTCCTAACACCCTGCCCCAGGCCCTTTTCCAGGCTTTAAGCCAATTCTTGTTCTCCTTTACCAGAATGATCTTCCTTTTGCGTTGCACATTTCTAAATCCAACTAATTCAGTCAGGTTAGGTCATATAATCTTGTTCCTGAGCAGGGCTAGGTGCAGACCTATAATCTCAGCAACTCAGAAGGCTGAAGCAGAAGAATTCACAATCAAAAGCATTCCTGGGCTACAGAGTGTGCTAAGGTCAACCTGGATACCTTAATTAGACCCCCATCTCAAAATAAAAAGGAAAAAGCCATAAAAAGTGTCAGCAAGATGGATCAGTAGGTAAAGACATCTGCCACCGAGCATAACAACCCAGAGTTCAATCCCTAGGACCCACGTGATAAAAATGGAGAACCAACTTCCCCAAACTGTCCTTGGACTTCCACAAGTGCACTGCACACACACACACACACACACACACACACACACCAAGAGAGAGAGAGAGAGAGAGAGAGAGAGAGAGAGAGAGAGAGAGAGAGAAGGGAAAGAGGGCTGGGAATGTAACTCAGAGGGAGAGCACTTGCTCAGCATGTATGCATGCCATAAGCTCTTTGGGGTCAATGTCCAGTTCCACACACACAAACAAAAATCTTGTTCCCTTTGGCAAAGCACAAGCTCTGGTAGCTCTGGTGGAAGGCAATGGCTTTGCAATGAGCTTTGATTCTGGGGTTCTGGAGTTAACTCGGGCCCTCCCAAGTTTCATGACTTCAGACACTGTGAGTGTAATGTCCTCAGGTGCTAATGTACCAACATCACAGGACCTCCAGGGATGAAATGAGATCAGCTGACATGCCCAGCAGTGTGACAGAGCCCTGGGCCTCAGGGATAGCTAGCTCCTTCCATGCTCTCTCTCAGCACTCTTGGACCCATATCGCTGCAATCACCTCAGCAGACTGGAGTGCTACAGGAAACAGCCAAAGGCACTTTCTCTTGGAGAGCTTAGCAGATTTCACTCACCCAGTGTTTTTGTTTTGGTTTGGTTGGTTTGTTTGTTTTAGTTTTGGTTTGTTTTTTTTTTTTTTTTTTTTTTTTTACTGTTACTTGGGGCCAAGTTAACTCAGATAAGTCCCAGAGACCAGTGAAGAAAGCAAAGGAAGATTGTCGGCCTGCAGGTTGGCAAGGAAAGGCCCACAGCCTGGGCTGCAGCACTTGGTGGACACAGGAGGGACACCACAGCCAGAACCACGACCACGCAAGTTGTCAGGAAGGCACAGAGGTGCTGGTGGCTTCGTGCAGGCAGTAGGCCTACTCACACTGGTTCATAAGCCCGAGGGCCAGAAGAAGGATGGCTCGTCCCACTTCGTAACCCCGTAACTGCTGGCCTTAACGGAAGCAGTTTCACGTGCCATTCTCTTAGATAGTCTTTGGCTGGGAACCCGGCACACCGAGCAAAGCAACAGCTAGCAAAATTGACGAATAAATGTTGCAGAAGCCTCTTAAGTTCTGGAGAGGGTCTCAACAGGTTTCTAAACACAGAAAAGTCTGGAAAGATCGACACGCACACCAGTGGATCCCTCAGATTACCAACACTGGCTGGCTGGAGGCTTCACTTGCCGGCAAAGGTCCCTCTACTTAGACAGGATGCATCCCTGGGCCCGGCTTTGTAAGGCCTGTGAAGTGCAATTCACTGTGTCATTACCGGATATGAACTCACTTTGTGAGGACCTTAAACCAAAGGCAATGAAGCTGCCACCCACTCTAGCACTAGCTCGGGGCACTAGCTCGGGGCAGCAGAGGACTGCACAGGACTCATTGTCAGGGCTGCACACACGCCGCTTCTCCTAGGGCCTGAGATTCCAGAGGATCTAAGGTGGCCCCTGCCCCTCCTCCATGTCTCAGCTACAGGTCTCAGGTCTCCCACCCCAAGCTATCCCAGCACCCTGCACAGCACCCGAGGCAGCCCTGGTCACACGGGACAGCTCCAGGAACACAGCCTGCACCATTATAAACAAGGGTAACTTTGAGCCCAAAGGACAACGACCACAGTGCCCACACCCTGAGTCGAGGACACGCACAGCAAAAAGTTCCCTCTGACTTGTTTTCAGCCCCCACACTTTGTCCTTCTCAATTACTGACAAGATGAAGAGAGGATGTGGTCCAAACCATCTCTGCTTGTCACACAGCCAAGCAGCCGCATGGAGACCAAGGGAGGATGCTCTAGGACGTGCCGACAAGGGCCTGAAGAAAGGTTGGCACACCCTGTATACACCTGCTAAGGCACCGGCCCCTTCAAGCACCAGCTCGTCCTGACCCAGATATGATGACGAATCAGAAAAGACAAGACAGACAAGGCCTAGGAGTGCAGCCATTTAGAAGCAACAAATGTGGAGCAAATGGGCAAACAGATTTATCCAAAATCTCCAACGCAGGATTACGCCAACACGGACGGCCTAGAACTTCCATTCCCCAGCGCCAGGCCTGAGAAGTTCTGCAGCTACAGGAGGCCATGGTAGGAAGACCTTAAAGGCAGGCGGGAGATTCACTCACTCTGAACACACAAGGCTTAGCTCAAGACACAGGTGGAGTTAAACATGAATGAACCGTGAGCAAGCTGCCTGATAGCATACTATCACCAAGGTGACTTATTCAGCCCTCACAAAATGCCATCTGAAGTTAGAGAAGTTAAGTAACCAACCTGAGGGCACCCAGCTAGCTAGAGGCAAGTCACCGCCATGTCAAGGCCAGCCCGCCTTCCCAGCCCATTGTAGCACGAATATTAAATGGTCTTATTAATAAGAACAAACCTGGTGCCAGGTATCGGGGTCAATGATGGAAGGTCAGAGAAGCAGAACAAGCCACAGCTTCCTCACCTCGACAATTCCTCAGCTGATCCTGTTTCTTTAGACTGGAAGCTTCTCAGTCCTCATCCAGAATGAATCTCAGCTGAACTGTGCTGTTCAAAAGCCTAAAAGCTTAACCAGCTCTATTTCCTGGTCCTCACGCCTTATATACCTTTCTGCTTTCTGCTGTCACTTCCTGGGATTAAAGGCATGAGTCACCATGCCTGGCTGTTTCTAGTGTGGCTTTAAACTCACAGAGATCTGCATAGATCTCTGTCTCCCAAGTGATAGGATTAAAGGCGTGTGTGCCACCATTTTCTGGCCTCTATGTCTATCTAGTGGCTGTTCCGTTCTCTGACCCCAGATAAGTTTATTAGGGTGCACGATATATTGGGGAACACATTATCACCACAGCCCATCTCCCCTTTCCACACTACTAAACTCAGACAGGATCCCAGAATCAACGCTACTGAGTTTGAAATGTCAGTCACCAGCCTTCATATCAAAACCTAAATCTCATACCCCCGAGATAAGTAATCTACCCAAATCAACTTCACGGCCACACAGGATCGGGACAGACGGAACAGAGTAAGAGGAAGGACACCATGAAGAAATGCAGACTTGCCAGTCAGTCAGACAGACAAGACACTCTCACCCACTATGTGACCTTGGACAAGGTACTTGACCTCTGAGGCTTGATTTTTCTCTCCAGGAAAGGGGTACACCAACAGTGACTCCTCAGGGTACCGGAAGTATTTGTAAAGCACTTTTTACAACAGTGCCCAACAAGTAGCAAGTGTGACACCGTCCTGACCAAATCAATAAAAGAATATTGCTTGGTAATGGATCAAGACTGCCCAGCCCCCACAGCAGGGGTAAATTGCAATGTTTCTCTTGGTTGCTAGGGGCTTCCCCAGACTCTAAGACACATCGACTTCAGCCAGGACCCTGACACTCTTACAGAAATGGACTTTGTCTCTTCATGCCTTTGGTGACACACACAGCTTTAGGTACTGAGGCTTCACTTCCCTAATTCATACATCCCCTGCTTCTAAATTTCCCCCAACCCTGGGCTGGGGGATGCAGCTCCATCCGAGTGTCCGTGTAGCATGAACTAGCACCCCATAAACCGGTGTAATTGTACATGTCAGTAATGCAAGCATTGCAGAAGTGGAAATGGGGGGTCAGAAGTGCATAGGGAGTTCAAGACCAGCCTGGGCTACCAGAGACTCTTTTCAATAAACAAGAAAACATACATACATAGGAAGGAACAAACAAACAAACATATCACACCCAATCACAGGAAGCAGGCGGAGCAGGGATTCCACCCTTAATGAAGAAACTGAGGCCGAGTGACTCAGCCAGGACTGGAGGGCTGTAAGGAACCCAGGGCCGATCAAGAAAGTCTCTACCTTTAATCCTGGTCCCCAAATGTACCATCCCAGGTGATAGGTTTTGTCTTTGTTTCTTAAATAT